GTATATGTTAAAAATATAATTATTATATTTTTATTATTAATATACATAATAAAAATAAAAATTAACATTTATTTTATCACTTGTCTAATTAAAAATATCTACATGACATAAATGTTAAAATTAGTGTCCACATTTTTTTTATATAAATTAATATATAAAAGCTATATTTAAAACCCCTTAACTTGATAATTTCTTTTTCTTTTTTTTTTTCCTTTTAAGCAAAGGAAAAACCGTTCCCTTCCCCCCAAAAATTTTGGAGATGATTATTATGTTATAGACACCCTAATTTAGAATTCAATAAATGAGAATATGAGTAAAATGATTTTTTCTTCCTTTGTTCCATAAAACCTTGATCTTCATAGAGAACACGAATAATTAGATCGTTTTGGGCAAAACATGCATATCGCCTCGTCAACTCATTGACTGGTGGCAAATCACCCTTTCAACTCACTTCACGCGCAAACGAACCCCTCAACTCACCTATAGTGGCAAATCAGCCCCTTTATTAACGCTGTCATCATTTTGTTAAGTTTTAATAGTTTGCTCATAAGCCCCTCCTCTGTGTCTGGCATGGCCTTTTTTTTGCTACGATGGATGCTAAGGTGGAGGGGCCATTGGACAAATCACCCCAAAATCATCAGATCAAGTAAATTACTTTTATGGCCTTAAATTGTTTAGGGAAATAAAATTGGGGATCTGGGGATCTAGGGTTTTATTTCGTTTGCCAGCTTCTATCGTCTTTTTCCCTTCTTCATCCTTTCAAAATCTGCAATTCATTGAGCATGGCTTCTTCATCAAGCTTTGAATCGTTTGTGAAATTACTATATTTTGAGGATATTTAGGGTTTTATGTCGTTTGACAGCTTTTATTATCTTTTTGTTCTCTTTGTCCTTTCAAAAATTGAACTCTTTATTAGTGAGATCTACAATTCATTGAGCATGACTTCTTTGTCAAGCTCTGAATTGCTAGTGAAATTACCATATTTTGAGGATAGATGCAATATTGAGTGGGAGTATGAAGGTCCTCCATGGACCTCTAAGTGTGGGCATTTTGCTCCACAGTGGACTTGCTGGATGAAAGCTAACGCCTAAAGAAGTTTTTTTGGTGGCCCAAAGTATAAGGAGAATGTAATCACTGTTGTTAACTTTGATTTTGGTTTGATTTAGGTTGTCGATTGTATTTACCAATAAATGATTGAATTAATTTTGTTGAAAAGTTATGACTTCTTTATCTGGTATGACCCTATGTTTGATAAGACGACAATTGAAATTATACAACAATTAACATCGAAAAAGTACCATCTAATGCATGAGAGGGATCATTTATGGACTGAGGTGTCTAAGTTCAACAAAAGAGATAACTGTATTCCAAAATCTGCAATTATAGCATTAGAGTTAAAGAGTATAATGTTGTGCTTGCAGGATAAATTTCCTAGTTTGGAGAAGAAGTTAGTGGTTGTGGAAAAAATTTGGAGATGAGTTTGTTAGTTCGGTGAACAAAATGGTTATGATGGGGGAAAATTAGAAAGTCTGGAGAATGATATGTAGAACGATTTTGGTAGCATGGAGTAGAAAATGGTGAGTATGGTTAAGTTTTTTAAGGATAAGTTTGGAGGTATGGAACAAAAAATGTTGGATATAGATAAGCATTTGAAGGCAATTGATAGTTTGGACAAGAAAACAAATGCCCTTATGAAAATGGTTGACAACAAGAAGGCTTTTGGCAAACTATGTGTAATTGTTGTCTCTTGTGTACTGCCAATATTATTTGCCATGATAATGAAATTTGTAATAAGA